CTCTCTCTCTCTCTCTTCTCTTCTTCTCTCTCTCTCTCTCTCTCTCTCTCTCTCTCTCTCTCTCTCTCTCTCTCTCTCTCTCTCTCTCTCTCTCTACCATACACCTCTCTCTCCCATCGTTGCAGGTTTATGCTACGACCTGATCATGCCTCCGCTTACAACGACACAAAAAGTCGTTTGAAAATTGAAACCCACGTTTTTTTGGTAAAACCCCTCTTTCCGGTCGTTGGAAGTTCCGGCTACGGTTTGACCCCGCTTATTACGACACATAAACGACATTTGAAATTCCGTGTTTTTTGCTTAAAACCCCTTCTTTTTTTCTCTTATTGTTTCAGGTTCAGGCTACGGTCTGACTCCGCTTACTACGACACATAAACGACATTTGAAATTCCGTGTTTTTTGCTTAAAACCCCTTCTTTTTTTCTCTTATTATTTCAGGTTCCGGCTACGGTTTGACCCCGCTTACTACGACACATAAACGACATTTGAAATTCCGTGTTTTTTGCTTAAAACCCCTTCTTTTTTTCTCTTATTGTTACAGGTTCAAGCTACGGTCTGACCCCCGTGTAATTCGACAAAAAACTGACAAAAAGAATGAATTATTTGCTAAAAACCTCCCCCTCTCTCTCTCTCTGCTTCTCGCAGGTTCAGGCTACGGACTCGCCTACGTGCCGGGGGCGACGATGATCGGCTACTACTTCGACCGGCGCATATACCTCGCGTCGTCCGTCGCCACGCTCGGCGGCGTCGGCTGCGGACTCATGCTGGTCGCCCCGCTTATACAGTCGCTCGTCGACGAGTACTCGTGGCGCGGCGCCATGCTCGTCCACGGCGCCATCGCTCTCCATCTCTGCGTCGTCGCCGCCCTCCTGCGCCCGATGGACAACAGCTACACGCGCGAGGATGCGGGATGGGCGCAGCTTCCCGGGGATGCGGCGGCGGCGCTGCGCGACCGCCGCGTCGTCATCTTCTGCATCAACAACGTGGCGTGGGTCGCCGGCTCGTACGCCGCCTTCACGATGATGTGCGAGTTCGCTGAGAGCACGGCGATCGTCGCCGAGCGACGCAGCGCGTTCCTGCTCGTCTGCGTCGGCGCGGCGTTCGTCGTCGGACGCTTCCTGGCGGGCGTGCTGGCGAATCATCCACGCTGCGACGAGCTGTGGGTGTACAACCTCGCCACGCTCGTGCTCGGCGTCGTCATCATCATCTTCCCCGGAATCAAGTCCGCCGTCGTGCTCAGTACGTATAGAGGAGGGAGAAGGGGAGAGGGGGGAGAAGGGGTGAGGAGGGGGAGAGGGGGAGGGAGGAACTATCGACCTCGAGGGAATCCCCGCACGGCGGCCTACCTAATTGCAGAATTAGACGAGCCAGCGTAACGACCTGACACTAAGCGGCATCTCTGCTCGTCTTCTGTCTCTCGATCAGCACATACACACTGTTCAACACACCACAACACACACACACCACACCACACACACACACACACACACACCACACACACACACGACACACACACACACTCACACACACACACACACTACCCACACCACACACACACACACATGTAGCACTCGCCTGGACTACTATCTCGCTGCGCTGCTCTCTCTCTCGGGTCTCTCTCTCTCTCTTCGCGTCTCTCTCTCTCTCTCTCTCTCATCTCTCTCTCATTCGTCTTTGCTCTCTCTCTCTCTCTCTCTCTCTCTCTCTCTCTCTTCTGCTTCTCTCTCCTCGCCTCTCAGCTTGCTTCTCGTTTCTCTCTCGTCTCTCCTCTCGCTCTTCTCGCTCTCTTTCTCTTTGTCGCGCGCTCTCTCTGTCGCTCTCTCTCGTCTCTCTCTCTTGCTCTCTCTCTCTCTCTCTCTTTGCTCTCTCGCTCTCTCCTCTTCTCTCTCTATCTCGTCGTCTCATTCTCTCTCATCTCTCTTCTATCTCTCTCTCGTCTCTTTCTCTCATCTTCTCTCTTCTCTCTCTCTCTCTCTCTCTTCTCTCTCTTGCTCCCCCTCGGCTCTCGCTCTCTCTCTTCTCTCGCTCTCTCGCTCTTTTCTCTCTTATCTCTTGCTACTCGCTCTTGCGTCTCGCTATTCTCTCTCACGTCTCTCACTCTCGCTCTCTCGCTCTCGCTCTCTCATCTCGTCTCTTCTCATTCGCTCTGCTCTCTCTCTCGCTCATCTCTCGCCTCTCGCTCTCTCTCTCTACTCTCCGCACTCTCTCTCTGGCGCGCATCTCTCTCTTCTCTCTCTCTCTCTCTCTCTCTCTCTTTCTCGTCTCTGTCTCTCTCTCTCTTCTCTCTTTCTTTCTCTATCTCTCTTGCTCTCTCTCTCTCTCTCTCTATCTATCTCTCTCTCTCTCTTCTTTCGCTCTCTCTCTCTCTCTCTCTCGTCTCTCTCTCTCTTCTCATCTATCTTCTCTCTCTATGTTATCTCTCTCTCTCTCTCTCTCTCTCTCTCTCTCTTTCTCTCGGCTACAGGCCTGATAATTCGATAGTAAAATTAACGCGCACCGTGCTCCTACCCTCGCAACCCATCACAAGCCAATACAATGCGATATAATTATATCGATCCAGGCTTGACAATCTACCACAGACAGCCATATGACTCTTATGGATTCCATAGGACCACCTTATATCTACCACAACAGCCATATACTACTATATGGATTCAGTGACCACCTTAATCTACCACAACAGCCATATACTCTGTAGGGCATGTTATAGGACCACCTTAATCTACCACACAGCATATTACTCTATATGCATTTATAGGACAACCTTAATCTGACCACGAACTATCCATTACTCCTCTTATGGAATTTGATAGGGACCACCTTAAATCATACCACAACAGCCATACCTTGACAACGCTCTATAAGAAGTGACAGACAGGGAACAGACTAGCCACTCGAACTCTACAGCCTATCTCTTGCTTGTCGACCTCGACCTCCCATACTCACCTAACCTACCTAACTACTCTTACCTTTTACTAATCTATCCACCTTACTTACATTAACCATAACCTACCCACCTCCTACCTTATATATCTACCCTCCTTCCTCTCCCCCTCTCCCCATCTCCCTCTCCCTCTCCCCCTTCCCCTCTCTCTCCTCTATACGTACTGCAGACGGACCGGCGGACTTGAATGCCGGGGAAGATGATGATGACGACGCCGAGCACATGAGCGTGGCGGAGGTTGTACACCCACAGNAGGGGGGAGAGGAAGGAGGTAGATATATAGGTAGGAGGTGGGTAGGTATGGTTAATGTAGTAGGTGGGTAGATAGGTAGAGGTAGAAGGTAGGTTAGGTAGGGTTAGGTGGTATGGGAGGTCGAGGTCGGACAAGCAGAGATAGCTTAGAGTTCGAGGTGGCTGTCTTTCTGTCTGTCACTTCATATAGAGGCTGTTGTCAAGGTATGGCTGTTGTGGTAGATTAAGGTGGTCCTATAAATTCCATATAGAGGATATGGCTGTTGTGGTAGATTAAGGTGGTCCTATAAATGCCATATAGAGTATATGGCTGTTGTGGTAGATTAAGGTGGTCCTATAAATTCCATATAGAGGATATGGCTGTTGTGGTAGATTAAGGTGGTCCTATGAATTCCATATAGAGTATATGGCTGTTGTGGTAGATTAAGGTGGTCCTATGAATGCCATATAGAGTATATGGCTGTTGTGGTAGATTAAGGTGGTCCTATGAATCCCATATAGAGTATATGGCTGTTGTGGTAGATTGTCAAGCTGGATCGATATAATTATATCGCATTGTATTGGCTTGTGGATGGGTGCGAGGTAGGAGCAGGTGCGCTTAATTTACTTCGAATTATCAGGCTGTAGCCGAGAGAAAGAGAGAGAGAGAGAGAGAGAGAGAGAGAGAGAGAGAGAGAGAGAGAGAGAGAGAGAGAGAGAGAGAGAGAGAGAGAGAGAGAGAGAGAGAGAGAGAGAGAGAGAGAGAGAGAGAGAGAGAGAGAGAGAGAGAGAGAGAGAGAGAGAGAGAGAGAGAGAGAGAGAGAGAGAGAGAGAGAGAGAGA